AATTATGTCATTATTAGGTTGCTTATATACAAGTTAGAAGAGGCGTGGCATTAAGCCATTGAATCGTTCTTCAAAGCTGTTTTCCAGCTGTGGTAAAACTTCAAAAGGTTCTCTTTGAAGTTAAAGAAACCCTTCAAGGTCCATTTGATAAAAAGAAGTGAAAGAGTTAAACCAAATGTGTAGCAGCTGATTGATATGATGAATGTACCTAGTAGATAACAAAAGACGTGCTTCCAGTTGCTTAAGATTACTTCCCATAAAGGAGTGTAGTCTGGTCTCATCTGTCTAGTATGGTCATTTTTGTTAACCCAACTGGGATACGGAATATCTGGTTTCCAGTGTAGATTACCTCGAATTTTTAACTCTTTTCGTTCTCCTGAACAGGTCAGGTAGCATGATTCGCTGAGAATGCTAGTTTCCCAATGTAAGATTATTGTGTTGATCTCGGCTGATGGCGAGCAGGTGATTGAGAAAGTTTGTGATGAGCACACTAGCAGTACGTTGCTTTTGATGCTCGTGAGACACTCAATTTTGACAGATGCTCCCTTGAGGCATGAGTAACAACCGGTTACTTCAATTACGTCGGCCTTGCATGGGTAATCGAAATAGAATGATGATGGATTCATCAGAATGGCTGAATCGAGAGCTATTGTAGTTTCGTCATTTTTCGGATACAGTTTGATTTGCTTATCACTTTGTTCAATACTCATTTCTTCCACATTGAGTGGTAATTGATTTTCCAATCGGTATATTTCTGGACTAGGGCAATCGCATGCGACTTCATAGTCTTTGTTGACGTTACAGTGACAAAATTTAGATACTGAACATTGGCTGAAGTTATGAACTGCTTGATGTTCTGACTCGCATGAGACGGTGGGTGTCTCGTGTCTGTCTACCGAGAACGAAGTTTGGTTTGAAACTAGGAACAGCTTGTTGTGCAAAGCTGATTGAATGTTTATTTGTGATATGATACTCATATTAAAAAAGGGATGAGTATACTTTTCGTATGGTTTTAAAGTTAAATTCATTTCCGTTTTTTGGTTGAAAATGTTGGCAATGATTTTCAAGTGGACTATAGGTTCCCATAGATCGCACACGAATGCCTCATATATTTCATCTGATGATGCGATATGTTCTATTAAGTAGAACGTGCAGGAGTCGGACCATGTGATGCATCCACAGGCGAGAAAACCACAAGAGTTTTGACAGCCGATTTGAAACGGGCCTTCTTGGTGTTCTTTGAACTCCGGAATTTTCGTTCGAGGGTTAATGGTCATGCATGTATTGTCGCAGGATCCAAATGATGAACACCTTCTGATTGTAGTTATTTTTGGTCGAGTTTGCCGTGTGAAGTACTTTAGATTTTTAATGCATCGATACTCTGTTCTCGATTTCTCTATTTCTATTATCCCAACTGTTGTATTCTTGAATTTCATTGATATGCAAGCTTTGTGCGTTCCTTTACTGAGAATCATCTGATTATCGTATTCTTGATAACAGTTGGTTAAATTCACACATTTAAACGATGTGGTGTGTACGATGTGAGCGTCGTCACAAGCTTCGATGTTCTTTCCGATCATCATGACCAGTAAAATAGTGAGAGAGATTCTGGATCCCAAATTCATGTAGTTTGGTAATTTCAAGAATCGTTTCTTTGTTTCATTTTCTTCCTTATCGATTGATGTTTTAGCAGTTTCTATTTCATCATCTTGAATGGTGTTACCGTTCTCTATTTCTATCTCATCCAGTGGGATTTGCCTTTTTTGGTTTTCCAATTTTGTTCTTGTTCTGATGAACGTTGAGATGCTTCTAGCTTTATGCTCACTGCGTAGCAATCTGGCAACGCAAGCGATGATCCCTAGGAAGATGAATAAGGGTATGAACAATGATGCCATGGACATATGTTCGTCACAATGTGGGTTTGCGAGCAAGTTAGTCGTAAACGGGACTGTTCCGTTACATATTTCGCCGTCCACCTTCGGGAGTAAGTTTTCAATAACGAGGAACCCTAGTGCGGTCCCAATTGCCTTGGCAATGGATGGATCTATACCTTTTCTGTGTTGGTTATACTTTGGGATACTGTGATATTTTAACCTTTGCGGTGTACTCGGTGTAATGTGAGCAGTTCGGAAGGTACTACGGATACCTCGATATGGAAGTTGTATTGCTCGGTGATGAGAGGATGTGGATCGAAATCGTTTGGCTCTTCTAGCCGGGACGAAGATATTTGATTTTATTATTCCGGATCGTTCCAAAGGGTATTGGTTTTCATCAACTCGATCGGATGATGTTTCTTGTTCGCTCATGTCCCTGTCTATGTCCACAACGGGTGCTTCTTGTTCATAGTCATCTACGACTGCTTCGTCTACCTCTTCATTTAACGGACTGGAAGTGCTTATGGGCTCCTTACATCGTATCTCTAGAGGATATAAGTGATTGAGTGAACGTGTTAACGTGTTTCCTGACGCCATCAGGACCCTGGCTGAACGGATCTCGTTGTCTGGGCTTTTTATCAGCTCCGTAATTTTTCCAATTCGCCATGTTCCTCTTGGGAGATGGTCCTTTTGGACTGTAACTATTTCCCCTATTGTGGGGACTTGCGAAGATTTTCGTGGTTGTGCACGAGTGTGTTTATAAATGTCTCGAATGTGAGTCAAATACTCGAGCTCAAATGCTTTCCAGAAATCGGAAGTTGTTTTCGAAATCTGATGAATGGTTTCTACTGCCTGTTCTACAGAAGCTATTATAGGCACGTCCTCGTCTTCACTATAGACACGAGTAGTGTTGCTCTCTGGCAAAGACGTACTTAGTATGGGGTTGATAAAGTCAACCGGTCGGATAGGTAATTTGCTCAAATCGTTCGGGTCTGGGTGTGTTAAAGGTCTAGTGTTGATTATCAACTCAATTTTGACTAGGATCGTTGTGAGTTCATCTCTAGATAATTTTTTGTTTCCTACAGCCTTTTGTAGTGCTTTTTTCACAATTCCAATAAGTCTTTCCCAGCATCCTCCTTTCCAAGGAGAGAGAGGAGTATTAAATATCCATTTGATCCCACGCTTTGTTCCATGAGAAATCATTTCCTCTTCAGTGAGGGGATTTTCAAATGATAAGTCTCGGTTCAATATCTCGAGTACCTTTGCTCCGAGAATGAAGTTACTACCGCAATCACTGCGCATCATGCTGGGTACTCCCCTTCTACTGATGAACCGATCAAAAGCGTTGAGAAAGCTGGCTCCCGATAGGTTTTGAACCAACTCTAAGTGAACAGCACGTGTAGTCATGCACGTAAATAAACAAATATAAACCTTTCTCTGGTTTTTTAAGAGTAAAGGACCCATCAAGTCCACTCCGGTACTGTCAAATGGGTGTGACAGAATGACTCTATCCTTGGGTAATGAAGGCATATTCGGTGTGCCATAAGGTAACGATTGGAGTCGGTTGCATACGGTGCACGTTTTGAGTACCCTGCGTACTACAGTGCTCGAGCGTGGAATGTAATAATATTGCCTGATCATAGCTTGGACATAGTCCTTCCCTTGATGCATACTTCTCCGGTGGAAGTGCATAATAAGATGGTCCGCTAACGGAGATTCTCGGGGTACGAATACCGGATTTTTGGCGTTATACGGTAACGTGGATAGTTGTAGACGGCTTTTAACCCTGATTAGGCCTGCTTCATCAATGAAGAACAAGAAACCTTTGTAATTTCTTTCAAGGTTTTTCATCGACAAGTGTTCTTGAGATTGTCTAAGTAATAATTCGAGAATGGTTTCCTGATCAGCAAGAGAGTACTTGTTAGCGTCAGTAAGACCAGTTAGCGATATCAATTCGCGGGATTTTTTAATCTTATCGTACCAATGTTTGCATATTTTTCCCACTCGGACTAGGAGCGACAATAAGTCTTCGTGCTTATCTCTTAAAGCTAGATTATTTTTGAGTTCTTTGCTCATTATTATGGGTTCTGTATGTACCGCAACTATTGAAGATTGTTTTTCTTCATCAAATTTTGCTTTCTTTGCCATTATGGTGAGGGGTGATACATTTTTTAACAGCCATTGGGGTCCATGGACCCACATAGAAGTTGAAATCTCTGATGTTGTACCTCCGCGAGAACCAAGATCTGCGGGGTTGTATTTTGTGTCCACATGGTATAGATTCAGTTCGAACTGTTCTCTTGACAGCTCGTTCATAGAGTGTCGGATATTTTTAAGTTGATTACGTAGAAAGGCTGGCATGTCTTTCGAAGATCCTTTAATCCAGCTCAATGCTATCATGCTGTCGCTGACAATGTTCACAATTACTTTGAATCTTAGAATTTTAGTGATAGAGAATGCTAACCTTGTGGCTAGCCTTATTGCCAGAAGTTCTAGTCTTGGAATCGTTATAGTGTTTTTAGGCGATAATCTACTTTTCCCATTGAGGAGAGTACTTATCATTTTATCAGATTGGAGATATGCACACGTAGCTAATGCTGTTTGACTGGCGTCTGCAAAGACCCACAGTGTTTTTTCGGATGTCCCTCTGAAGGCTGTTCTTGGAATTTCAACTTTCGTGTCGTTGATTTCGTCGATTATTTTCGTCCATGACGATGAGATATGTTCTGGTAACAAGTCGTCCCAGCCCAATTTTGTGGCACAGATCTCTCGGAAGAGTACCTTCAGGGGAAGGAGTACGGGGTTGATGATCCCTATAGGGTCATACACTGAGTGTAATTGTTTGAGCATGCCTCGTTTTGTATTGTTCACGTTAAGAGGAATCTGAATGTCCACTCCGATTGTATCGGAGACCGTGTTGAACGGAATGCCCAAAATTTTTGTGTGAGTTAGTGGAAGTAGATCTTCTTCCGGCATGTTTAGTGTTACTTGCGTTTCATTGGATAAAAATTCTCTGACGTTCATTGACGCCATCTTGAACAACCGTTTGGTTTCGTAGCATTTTTGCTTAGCTTCTTCGACGGTATTGGCTAATAATATAATGTTATCTACATACATTAGCTCTAATATCTCTTTAGCAATAGGTGAATCTTGTTGTTCAAGAAACCAGGAAATGCACATGTTAAGAACACTTGGAGAAGCGGTTATTCCAAACGGTAGTCTTTTAAACCGATAGGTTAGGGTATTCTTTCCCGTTGGAGGGAGACTAGGATCTCGGATCCAGAAGAATCGGCAAAGGTCTCGATGTTCTGCTGGAATGAGTATTTGCAGAAATGCTGATTCAATGTCACAAGTGACGATTATAGGGCTCATCCTACAAGCGATTATGATGTCGTGCACCTTATGTACGAATGATAACCCTGTTTGTATGGCGTCGTTGAGTGATACGCTACCCTTCTGTTTGGCGGACGCGTCGAATACGATTCTGAGCGGTTTGCTTTTACCTTCTTTCCACACTCCGTGATGTGGAAGGTAGAATTGAGGAGAAATACTTTCATGTTCCTCTGTTTTCACTTGTTCAATGATGTCAAGTGTTAGGTATTCATTTATGATTCTTTGATACCATTCTTTTTCCCTGCCATTGGTCAATAATCGTTTCCAAAGGGATTGAAACCGGTAATATGCTCCGGCCCGATTGTTGCCGAACTCTGTCAGTCCATCTTTCATTGGGAACGGAGCCTTTATGCGCCCGTCTTGCATGGTTATGCGCTTAGAATATTCTGCGTAGTAGTCTATGGTCTGCTCGTCACTCGAGTTGTCAGTGCTTATCCCCAACCCTTCAAGATCGTACATCTGGTTTATCATGTCCTCTTTATGAGTAACTTTGACGTTACTGTCCATAATGGTGACTAGGGCTACTGGTGGCTCTTGCTCATGAATGTAAGGTGATGCACCGCATAGAACATGCCCAAAAACTGTCCCCTTCAGCAACATGCATGAAGGTAACTCCATCTCTTCATTCTTCTGCATGAAGATTCGATAACGATCCATTCCTAGAAGAATATCGGGTATAAATTCTTCCCCGTTTAAATGAGGATTTGCCAGTGTAAGTTTATGATCCTTGATAAATTGGATGTCCCGTTTTGAAAGTTTCGGGTTACGTAATGCTGTGGTGAGCTTAGGTTTTGTGTATAAATATGTTACGATAGTGTGTCCAGTTCTCGTGGAAAAGACTGTTTTTACCTCATTCACGAGATGAGTTTCGGACATCCCTCCTATGCCGTAGAAGGTGCGTATTTTTGATTGCGATATTGGCAAGCCAAGATCTTGCGCTAATTTTTCAGTTATAAATGATCTCATAGATCCTTCATCAATGAGTATGTTGACGGGTATATATGTGTTTGTTTTGTGATTGTAAAGTTTTGCTACGGCAGTACGCAGTACTATCTGACTGTTCTCCAGGTTTCGTGTATCCTCAATATGATTGAGAGAATGGCCATTATCATCCGAATCGTTCGTTATGGATGAATCATTACGTAATTCGTTATCTGCTGTGACCACATGTGCTACATTGGCGGTCTGTATTGTTCCCTTATTTAGTGCCGTTCCCTCATCTTTCAAACAAAGGAACGTATGGTGGTCGCCTTGGCACCTGCGACATTTTTCTTTGACACAATCTCGACTTCTATGTATTTTTGATAG